CTCTTCATTTCTCCCCTCCCCAGCTCCTGGTAACCTGTATTTTCTGTCCCTATGAATTTGCCTATTCTAGATATTTCATATAAGTGGGATCCTATATTTGTCCTTTTGTACTGGCTTACTTCACTTCACATACTGCTTTCAAGGTTTATCCATGTTATAGCATGCATTAGAATTTCATTTCTTCTTATGGCTGAATAACATTCCATTGTATGTATGTATCATATTTTGTTTATCCATTCTTCTGTTGATGGACACAGGCTGTTACCACACTGGCAGCAATTCTTTAATTGACTTTTTAAAAATCTATGAACATGTATCATTTGGATTTAAAAAAAAAAAAGTTTACTATATTACAATCAAATCAAAACAAAACAAACAACAACAAAAGCAAGAAACTGCTACCAGGATGTAAAAAAACAGGCACTCTTTTTCAGATACCTTTGGGGGTGATTTTAGGACAAAAAATTTGGGACAAATCTTAATATAAAATAAAAAAAGGTTAAAATTCACTTCAATATTCTATTCATACAAAGTATATAATGAACCATAAGGTATGAAGGTATAAAGAGTAAAACAACATCCACACACCTACTATCCAGCTAAGAAATTAAATACCACAGTCATTAAAGCCCCCAGGTTCTCTTCTCCTACTTGTATCCCTCTCCTCTATAAACAGTTTAAATGCACATACTCTTTGATCTAGTAATTCCAACCCAGACCAAAACCCACTGTCGTCAAGTCGATTCTGATTCATAGCGACCCCACAGGGTTTCCAAGGCTGTAAATCTCTACTGAAGCAGATGGACACATCTTTCTCCAATGGAGCCGCTGGTGGTTTTGAACCTCCGACCTCTCGGTTCAGTCGAGCACTTTAACCCTGTCGTCACCAGGGCTCCTTTAGTAATTCCACTGCTAAAAATTTATCCCACAGACAGACTTGCAAAAGTATGTAAATATGTAAGTATAAAATGTATAATAAACCTAGAAACAATATGTCATCAAGAAGAGACTAATTAAATTACACAATATCCAAATGATAATATAATACATGAAGCTGTTTTTCCTCTATTTGAAATTTCATAGTACACATTTATTATTGTTATTTTTAGCTACTGTTGAGTCAGCCCCCTACTCAGGGCAACCCCATGCACAGCAGAATAAAATACTGCCTGGTCATGCGCCGTCCCCATGATTGGTTGCAGATTGGACTGTAGGGTTTTCTCTGGCTGGTTTTTGGAAGTAGATCACCAGGCCTTTCTCCCTAGTCCATCTCAGTCTGGAAGCTCCGCTAAAACTTGTTCAGCATCATAGCAACATGCAAGCCTCCAGTGACAGACAAGTGATGGATGTGCATGAGGTGCATTGGCCAGGAATCAAACTCGAGTCTCCCGCATGGTAGATGAGAATTCTACTACTGAAGCATCACTGCCCTCTAGATATTTATTACTTTTATTTAAATAAGTAAATTTTATTTTATTTATATACGTTGTTAGTTGTCATCAAGTTGATTCCAACTCATGGTAACGTGATTATGTGCAGAGTAGAATGGCACCATAGGATTTTCAAGGCTGTGACCTTTTGGAAGCAGACTGCCAGGCCTGTCTTCCAAGGTGTCTCTGGGTGAGTCTGAATCGTCAACCTGTCAGCTAGTAGCTGAGTGCTTAACTATCTGCATCACCCAGGGAAACACACATATGCACAAAAACACCTGTACGCGCGTGCACACACACACACATACATCAGCTCAGGGAAAAAAGTGTTCATTTTCTTCTTTCCTCTAAACTCTTACAGCATTTAAAGAGTGTGTAGCCAAGACCATACTTTTATGCAAATTAATACGCACCTTCTAAGTTTGTTTGCCAGCCATGCCCTCCCCCCGAAAGGTATTTTCATATGTGCGCTATGCTAATTATTTTTTTTACAGCAACATGTAAAAAAAAAAATTGGTATAGTAGCACGTATGAAAGTACCTCGTGGGGAAAGTGTGTGACTGGCAAATAAATGAAGAAGGTGCATGTTATTTGTGTAAAAATACGGTAATTTAGAATAGTGTACACTGCCTTGTGTTTAATAGTGCTTCAGTTGCATATGTATTCTCTCCTCAGATAAAACTACTAGTTCTTTGATGGCCTTGTCTTAAACTTTTTGGCCCTTATAGCACTCATAACAGAGCTACTTACCTAGCTCAATACAGGCCTTGCAAAAGTAATGTGTTATTGTAAATAATTCAAATATTCCACATACGAATGACTTACAAAAGTTAAAATCTTCTAAACTTCTATCCTCAGAAATAATCATGAATAGTTTGGTGTGTAGTCATCCAATTTTTTCTCTTATGCTTACGTTAAAACTTTTTTACAATTAATCTTTTACAGAACTGAGGTCATCCTATACATACTATGCTACAAGTTGCTTTTAAATGTAACATATGTTGGAGACAGCTTGCCATTTAAGTATATAAACTGAGCTCATTCTGCAGAGCATTCCATGATATGGATTGTGGTAGGCAGAATAATGGTCCCCCAAAGATGTTCATGTCTCAGTCCCCAGAATTTGTGGTTATGCTACTTATATGGAAAAAAAAAAAAAAAAAAACCTTTGCTGATGGGATTAAGGGGTATGGCTCTTGAGACGAGGACACTATCCTGGATTATTATCTGGTGGGCCCAATCTAATCTTACGAGTCCTTAAAAAACAAAGAACCTCAGAGAGATAAGATGGAAGAAGGAAAGAAGTCCACAAGCCACATGAATACTGGGAATGGCCTTTAGCTGACAACCAGAAAGGAAACAGAGATCTCAATCTTACAACTGCAAAGAATTAAATTCTACCAAAACCCAAACGCACAAGGAAACAGAAGTTTCGCTAGAGCCTACAGAAAGGAATATAGACCCGTTGGCGCCTTGCTTTTAGCTCAGTGTGACTTCTGACGTACAGAACTGTAAGGCAATAAATTTGTGTTTAAGCTGCTAAATTTGTGGTAATTTGTTACGGTACTAACAGAATACTAATATATGGATGTATCATAATGCCTTACTGATGGATTTGTGGGTTTTTCCTTATTTCTTATTATTACAAATAATGCTGCTGTAAGAATAACTACATCTGTGCTTCTGTGCGCTCGTTTCTGTAGGATAAACTCCTAGAAATGGAACTACTAATTTAAATTGTGAATATTATACATTTTGATAGATGTCAAATTGTTCTCCAAAAACGTAGAACCAATGTGCACCCACATCAACAATGAATGTGAGTGCCTGGTTCTCCACAGAGTGTTTAAAATTTAATGAAGAAAAAAAGACATTTTAATTTCAAATAAATACATACAGAAATGATCACTTATTTATCTTGTTGATAAGGAATGATTCAGCTTCCTTAATATTACTAGTAAATTTTCATGAATGAACAGATAGTAATCTGCATAAGAATGTAAAACTGTTTTAGGGGTCAAATGAGTTTCTTAAAATGGAACTGCCAAGAACCTGTTATGAGGGGTCAATACCAACCACTGTCAGCCTCAAGAAATCAAGAATATACTGCTGAAATACTCTATATTTGCTTAACTACCCATTATTGATCTAGTATCCATAAATTTATCAAAATCTGTTTAGAAGTGTTTTCAATTCCAGTCACACATTGAAAGCAACTACTATGAGCCCAACTTTGAGTAGCTAATTACAAATAAGACATGGCTCTTGCCTTGTAGGAAATTCTAATGGGAAATACTTTTAATAAAATATTACAAGGTAATAAGGCCTATGACAGACAATTCACAGGGTCCCAGAAACACCTAGCCAAACCTAGATTATATGCGTGTGAGTCGGGGGTGGGGGGAAAGAGGGTACAGTCAGGAAAGGTTTCCTAGGAGATGAAGACTGAGCTAAATTACACAGAAACTACCAGACAGAGCAGGGAGGAATTCTAAGTGGTTTAGCCTTGCTGGACAAAAGAACACAAAGGGGAGAGGCGTATCAGGACAAGAGAGAACGGACATAACCCATTAGATAAGAAGAAGCCGTCAAAGAGTATGAGGCAATCAAGTGAGGTGGTAACATCTGTGCTACAAATCAATCACTCTGGCAGCAGGGAGAACAGACGATGAGAGCCTGCAATAAAGCATTGGCACGGGAGATAGAGAGGAGATACGGTGGCTACAACCATTAAAGAGATAATAACCCATCTATTTTATTGAGCACCTACTATGTGCCAAGCAGTCAGGTGCTGATATAAAAGAAAGCTTCTTTTGTAACAAGGAAATGTGTCCCATGAGTTTAGAAAACATTCTAAACTATATAATCTATAGCATAGTAGAGCCTTTCATTTGTTCTATATTTACAAAAAACTTTAAGGACTGCCTTAATTCTAGGATTTTATGAATACATCCCTGTTTTGTCCCACCTCTGATGTAACAGAATGTGACTGCATCCTCTCTTTGCCTTTCCCATCTTTACTAAGGCCTCTAGTTTGTTTAGTTTCCACATGGTAGCTCTTACCTCCGTCTGATCACTTAAGCTGCCATTTATGCAGTTATTAACAGTGCCTCCTTTTTTACCTCAATCTATCTTTCTAATTCCAAGACTCCACTTAGAAAAAAGAACAAGAACAACATATTCCAATCACAGTAGCAAAATAGGGTCCAATTCTTTTATTCCCCATCATTTTCTCCACCAAGCTGTCTGAGTAAAGAGCCAGTCCTAGGGTGCAGAGAGTTAAGAGCATGGGCTCTGAAATCAGAATGATTTTCAGAGAATTCCTTAACTTCTCTGTGTGTTGGTTTGCTCATCTGTTAAATGAGGATAATAATAGTACCTACTCACAGGGTTGTTGTAAAGATTATGAGTTAAAATAAGTAAAGCACTTAGCATGGTATCTGTCACACAGCAAACGCTCAATAATATTAGCTATTACTACTCCTTGTAGTCTGGATGTCATTAAATGCTCTATTGTTTTAGAATGCAATTTATAATGGATATTGTCAGTTTCTTCAATTGGAGTCTTACCTTAGCACCAGCCAATTCCTTCATCATGAAGAGAGAATCGTCAGCTCGTTCATCGTCATCGTCGTCATAATTTGGAGAGGGAGCTCCCTCTGCTCCTTGCCTCAATAGGCTGCCGCTTCCTCTTGGATCAAACGGATCTACTACGATGGGTTCAGTACCTTTAATTTCACATCGGCAGAAAGGACAGCCCTGGCCTTCTGATTCCTGCAGAGGAAGCAGAAGATAGTAACAGAGGCACCTGAAAGTACTTAAAACTTCCGTCCACTAGGAAATACATTTCATAGAGATGAAAAAGTTTTAAATCTATCCACCAACCAGGCCACCCTTTTTATCCGTAAAGGAAAATAATACTCAATTTTTCAGAGTGGTTACAAAGCTAAGAAAATGTATGGTTTGGATCCATACCTGCCAAGATGTAAGACAGGATGTGCACATGAGGTGGCCACAGGGCTCAATCTTTACATCCTTGTCATTTTCAGCACATATTTTACACAGTTGGAATGTGGAGCCCATCTCACAGTATAATTCATATTGTTCCTTTGATTAAAAAAAAAAATTAAGGGATTACTCACCTTACTGCAAACATTTGTTGAACGAATGAATGCAATCATAAATGCTAAAAATCAAGAAAACCCAAGACTGTTACTGTCTATAGAAATTTTGCTTGTATAAAATATCAAAACATTGATCACTGTTTTTCCATTAAGCTGGAAGGCATCTAGTCATGATCCTGCATGGTTTAAAGAGAAATCACACATTATTCAGTTTGGAAGCACACAAGTTCATCAGCCTAGTCAATGGTTTCAAATTAAAGTGTTTCAATCAATTAATACAATTATATTGTCAATTCTATGAAATGTATAGAAAGCTTGACTCCTTCTGATGGATTTAGTGATACAGCTGTAATGTAAAATAAAACTCACCTGGGTCACTTTGATGTGGTCTTGGGGAGTTGGTTCACATAAGCCTGTCAGGTCGGGATTCTGATTTCGTCCATCGGGAAACAAATAGCTGAAAAAAGAGGACCCAATCTTGGGGTTTTATTAAAGCTGATTTATCAGTGCTTATTAACATAGGCAACGGACATCTAGGAATTCCCTCATTCTAAAAGGGCAACTTTATATAACTGCAAAGATGAATCTTATTAATACTTTAAAAAAAAAAAAAAACCAGCATAGAGCAGTTCTAAGAATATAGTTTCCAAACCCTGATATTCCTTCTCCAGGGCACAATGTCACAGGGTTTTCTTTTTCAGTAATGAGCCACACAGTAAATATTTCAGGCTGTGGGGCACATAAGGTCTCTATTACATATTCTTTGGTTATTTTTTATTTTTTAAAAATTGCTGTTAGTGTTGTTCTTGTTACGTACCGTTGAGGTGATTTTGACTCATAGCGACCCCATCTGAAAGAGCAGAACTGCTCCCATAGGGTTTTTTAAGCTGTGACCTTCACAGGAGCAAACCACCAGGTCTTTCCCCACGGAGCCACTGGGTGGGTTCAAACTGCCTACTTTTCGGTTAGCAGCGTTTAACCTGTTGTACCACCAGGGCTGCTTATTTTTTTAAATAGCACTTTAAAAAAGTAAAACCCATTCTTAGCTGCAGGCTGTACAATTAACAGACTGGCCTGTGGGCCGTAGTTCGCCACCCCTATTTTAATCTGTGGATGGCCACTAGGTATAAATTCTTAATTTAAACTGCATTTGCTTTTTGACCAAAGACCCGAAATATCTTTGTTTACAGATTTAGCAAATTGAGAGACATTACTTTAAAAGAAATGTAACAAGGAGCAAATTAAGCCACTGAGATCACCTACCAGGAAGGTTCTTCCAGCAAACTGCTCTAACATTTGGGGCAGCAGCTCTTTCAGCTCCAACAGTAGTGTGGAAGCTTCTGCCTAACTGAAAATGGATTTTCCTAACCACTTTAAAACAAGCTAGTTTTCTGATATCTGGTCAACTGTTAGAATTTTTAGTGCTTACCAACTGCTAATCAATTTGAATTCTCAAATGGATAGCAATTCTGGAATAAAAACTTACTCATAAATATTAGCACAGGTTATAAAAGCCCAAAGCCTGAAAAAATGTTGCTGAACCAAAATGAAAGTAAGATGAAGGCAGATGAAGACCACTGAGGCCTGCTGTCATTAGGAGCATCTAATCACTCTAACGCTGGCTAGTTAAATAACTGGTAAAATTTGTTGCCAACTGGAATATTTTTAAATCTAACATAGACTTAAGAAAAATAATTTCACTCAAGGAATCCCTATTAAATTAAAACAAAAGTCCTATAGAAACTGAAGGTCAATCAATATAATCTGTTAATATATTTCCTGAATCTTAATCTGTAGAAGAAACCAGGAATAGAGTCATTAAAGATGCAATTTTACAGCCCCCAAGTCCCTACTCTCTAGCACAGTGTAAATAGTAGTTACTCACAAGCCTTCCCTGAAGCCATCAATCAGTGCTTGGAAGAGAGGTTTATTGTGAGGGATTGTCTGGAGAATGTTCCCATCAGCAGTGACATAACCAATAGCCCACTGACCCAGACGAGTACAGCTCAGCCGGAAAATGTAACTGAGAACAGAGATAAACAAGGGCTTTAATATATATGCTGGTATAAGGACAAGAAGCAAGACACAGTCAAAATCAAAAAGGACATCAAGAATAGTTTCTTCAATGACTCCAGACAAAAAGCAAACGATCCATAAACCCAATTCTTAAGTGGCTCAAAAGCATTTATGAAATCACAGGATCTGATTAGTCAATTCATCTGATAAACAGACATCAACACTATTGCAAAATTCTGGCCACTGGGGAACTAATAAAAGATCCTGTTTCCTCTATTTCAGCAGAAGTCACAAGAGAATAAAATTCAGGAGAATAAACCTCTTTGCTTCATGGCACCGACCTGCCAGGTTTGTGAATGAATTTCTGGAGTCGAGCTTTCACTTCATCGTATGTCAAGAAAGCCATATAGCCAGGATGAGTTACAGCAAGACTGTTCCAGTTCCTGAGCAAAGAGGACCAGGGCTGAGGAAATAAGAGACAGATCACAGACTATTCTGCTCAAGACATACAACCACCCTCAGAACAATGAAGAACAAAAGGAAAAACAAATAACCTCAATTCTCAATTATAAACTGCCAATTTACTGTCACTAATTCTCAATTACATTGTCACTTGGAGGGAAGATAAACATTTTTGGAATATAAGAACTTTGAAAAACTAAGGAGAAAAAATATATATACTTATAGGGAGAAACTTAACTGTACAAAACAAAAGGCAAGACATTTGAAAGCAGCCCTAACCCATGGCAGTGAGGTTAAACAAGGAACAAACAAACCCAGAACAGGGCCTACACGTGCAACTAAGAAGTTCCAAATAAATTTTTATGCAAGTTGGCATGTACACAGTGAAGAAAGCATTAACTTTAGAAAAAGAAATGAGTTTTTTTTTTTTTGAAGTATCAATACATCTCAATATTAAGTCAAGAATTTCAATACAGTTTGTTTATGGTGATGGGAAATTTAGCAACGATTATGGGTGATGGTTGCACAACATGATTAATATAATTGGTATCACTAAATTGTATACCTGAGAAATGCTGAATTGGCAAATGTATTATATATATTTTACAATAAAAGCAACAACAAAAAAAGAATTTCAATGCAATAGGAGAAAAATATTTGAAACATACATAAATGTCTAATAACAGAGAATTGATTAATTATGCTACAGCTATTTTCTAGACATTCTACAACCATTAAAATGATATAAAAGAAGAAGAACAAAGAAAGATTATAAATGTGAGGGAATAAAGTAGATTATATAGATATTATTTTTACAAAGCATTTATACACACACACACATACATATAAAACACAACACACAAGGTAGTTTTAATCTAATTTTTTTCTAGTTGTAGTTTCTAAAATGAATAAAAGATACTCTTACAACAGGCAAAAACCCCAAATGTTATTTTTTTTTTAAAGTTTATCTTCAGAAAAGTAGTAGTAATCAGTTTAGTCAATTCTTTAGCATCCTACCTGAAAGAGTCGTGTAAAGATGTCAAACTCAAACACTGAAATATAATCATTGCAGGTTAGATCGATAGTGGATTTCAGAGCCATGGCCTCCAGCCCAGAACTGATGGGATGTACTTCATGTAGGGCCTGTCGAAAGCTCTTCCAAGGAACTATTGTCCTGAGGTGGAGGTGGGGGTGGGTGGGAGAGAAGGCACAGAGTGAGGTAAGACAGAGAATTCCCAGCACTGCAATAATCAAGGAAAAGAAAGACAGCCACATTAAGCTCTCAATATCAATTTCAATTCTCCTAAAGAAGTTAAGCTATATTTTGGGTTAGGAAAAGAAAGAAGGGAGTAGGGCTCTATTTCCTAACTTTCTAATGACTAAATAACAGAAAAGTCTTTTTCCACTATTCTTAGGCAGAATGTCTCAAATCAATCCTGCCTCATCTTTCTTCAGACATTTGTTCTACTAGAGAGTCATGGAAAGAGAGATGAGATAGTCCTTTTTACATAAGAAATGTATTCTGTTGCCAGACCTTTACTAGCTTGTATTTAAACGAACTTTTTAAAAAGAGAATAAAACGTTCTGTATTTTTTGAGGAACCATACTATCAAGGACTTAAAAAAAAAAAAAAGAAAACCCACTGCTGTCGAGTCGATTCCAACTCAGCAATCCTACAGACCAGAGTAGAACTGCCTCATTGGGTTTCCAAGGAGCAGATGGTGGATTCACACTGCCAACCTTTTGGTTAGCAGCTGAGCTCTTAAGCCACTCTGCCACCAGGGCTCCCTTATGAAGGACCAGACAGTAAGAAATAGGCTTAAGGTACAGGAAGAACAGAGTTCTGATAGACATGAGGAAGAAATTATTTAACGTAGGAGTGCTTAAACTCCAGATAAGGCCAGTAAGAGATACTACGGAATTTCTATTTCTTGAGATCTTTAAAATAAATACAATCTCATTTCCTTTGGAAAATTTATATATTTACCTGCCTGAAAATAAGTCAGATCAAGTGATGTTCTGAAGTTCTTTCCAAGGTAATTAGTTACTAAGTTAAAGGAATAAAATTAAACACATCCCCATCCTCTTCAACTAGGTTGTAAAATCTACTAATTATTCCATATTTTATATATGACAATTATTGTTTTTTGGCTTTAACAAAGAGAAATTTATCTCCTCACAGTAAAGTAGACTGAAAGTCAAAATTCAGGGCATCAGCTCCAGGGCAAGGCTTTCTCTCTCTGTGTAAGACAATTTTTTAAATAAAAAATTTTCTGGGGGACATCTAGGTCAAATGGCAAAACTTAGTTCATAAAGAAAATGTTCTACATCCTACTCTGGTGAGTAGTATTAGGGTCTTAAAAGCTTGCGAGCGGCCATCTAAGATACATCTATTGTTCTTATCCCACCCAGAGCAAAGGAGAATGAAGAAAACCAAAGACACAAGGAAAATATTAGTTCAAAGGACTAAAGGACCACATGAACCACAACTTCCACCAGCCTGAGCCCAGAAGAACTAGATGGTGCCCAGCTACCACCATTGACCGGTCTGACAGGGATCACAACAGAGAATCCCGGACAGAATGGGAGAAAAATGTAGAACAAAATTCAAATTCACAAAAAAAGACTAGACTTACTGGTCTGACAGAGACTGGAGGAACCCCCAAGGCTATAGCCCCCAAACACTCTGCTAATTCAGAACTGAAACCACTCCCGAAGTCCACTTTTCAGACAAAGATTAGACAGGCCTATAAAACAAACAATAACACACACAAGAGGAATGTGCTTCGTAGTTCAGTCAAATATATGAGACCAAACGGGCAATTCCTGACCAAAAGCAAGATGAGAAGGCAGGAAGGGACAGGAAAACTGGACAAACGGACAAGGGGAACCCCGGCTGGAAACGAGAAGAGTGTTGTCACATTGTGGGGATTGTAACCAATGTCACAAAACAGTAAGTGTATAAATTTTGAATGAGAAACTAACTTGAGGTGTAAACTTTCACCTAAAGCACAATAAAACTAAAATTATATTTTTAAATGAAGACGGCCTTTAGAGAGATATTTAGGCTAGCATCTGTATATTCAACTGGAAAGTTTTATTGCCTTCTAACTTTTCAGTTCTTTGACCCAAAATTTCAGAAGATACATAAGAACATTTTCATTTATACTTAAAAATATAAGCTTGGGTCATGAACCTGTCTAAATAGTTTTAAACTTCCATACACTGAAAGACAACATAACAAGGTGGAAAGAAAAAGTGTAGACCAGCAGAAGATATGTGTAATGTAACAAAGAATTAGTACCCAGAACATGTGAAAGATCTCCTACAATTAGAAAGACAAACAACTCAACAGAAAAACAGACAAAGAATAGAAACAGGCAAGTCAGAATAAGAATTTTGATTAATCATAGATGTGAAAAGATGCTTACCCTCCCTTGTCACCAGGGACTATAAAGAAAAATATGATACCAATTCATATTATCAATGTTACCCAAACTGTGGAGCTACTATAATACTACTTACAGGAATATAAACTGGTACAACCATTTTGGAAAGCAATTAGGCAATATTTAGCAAAGCCAAAGATGTGAAACTCAGCAATTCCACTCCTAAGACATAAGAGAAACTCTTGCGCACGAGCACAAGAAAACATATATAATATTGTTCACCGAAGCATTGTTTATGATAATAAATAATTTAAAAAGAAACATCTATTAACAGAGTGGATGGAGAAAGTGTATTTAAACAAGCAGCATGGGTTTCAACTGAAGCTGCAAAACTTGACCTCTTTTAAAAAAAAAAAATAAAGGCAAAAAAAAGTTAATATTTACCAAAGCTGGGAGGTGTCGGTATACACATGTTCATTATTCTTCTCTATGCTTTCTCACACTTTAAATATTACTAAAAACTAAAAAAAAAAAAAAAAAAAACCCATAACATAGGCTTTAGTTTTTCATAGCTCCAATTTATTATTTTGAGACTTACTTTTCCCCAAAAGCTTTCCTCCAAAATTCAGCAGCATCTGCTTTAGTGATCCGAAATGTGTCTCCTTGAAAAAGTCCACTTGGAAAGATTCCTTTTAGTTCTGCCAGCATGTGGCTGAAGATCAGGGACAGTTTGGTTAGGTTTCGCCTACAAATGATCAGAAGTGCAATAATTAAATAAACAAATAAAACTATTTTTATTTTAAATGCACAGAATTCACTGTACAAGGTGCCTAATTAATAATAACATTAAAATACATTTAGAAAGAGTCTTTTCAAATATACTTTCTGGCCAGTATTATTCAAAGATATATAGAACTAGGGAAGAAGAGAGGAAGGAACACACTGTTGACAATATTAAAATACTCTAGGTTAGTGCCATCTTTGTTATAAGAGGGCTTCAGATAAATTGTTTTGCTTTAACATCATAAGTAAGATGCAAACATAAAGGAAGAAAGACTGTTGCATTCTCTGGGTTCACGTATATGCCTTCCTTTCCAATAGATGTTGTATAGTAAGTAAGATAAAAAATTTAACAGTCAAAACCGAGGACACAAGGGAAAAGATTAGTCCAAAGAACTAATGGACCACAAGTACCACAGCCTCTACCAGACTGAGTCCAGCACAACTAGATGGTGCCCACCTATCAACACTGACTGTTCTAACAGCGATCACAACAGAGGGTCCCAGACAGAGCTGGAGAAAAACACAGAACAAAAAAAAAAAAAAAAAAAACAGACCAGACTTACTGGTTTGACAGAGACTGGAGAAATCCTAAGAACACAGCCCCTAGACACCATTCTAGCTCAGTAATGAAGTCAATCCTGAGGTTCACCCTTCAGCTGAAGACTAGACAGGCCCATAAAACAAAATGAGATTAAATGGGCAAAGGAGCCCAGGGGGAAGGACTAGAACACAGGAGGGGACAGGAAAGCTGGTAATGGGGAACCTAAGGCTGAGAAGGGGAGAGTGTTGACATGTCGTGGGGTTTGCAACCAATGTCATAAAACAATATGTATATTAATGGTTTAATGAGAAACTAGTTTGCTCTGTAAACCTTCATACAATTTTTAAAAAAGAGAAAAAAATTAACAGTAATATATTTTAGAGCTTTTAAATCTTAAATGAGTCATGCCTAATATCTCAGAGCATAAACAAACAATAACAAATCTATTTTTTTAGGGTGACAGAGAAAAGAATTCAACAAATAATGAAGTGTAAGAACTTGTACACTGCTATAATCACCAACTCAGAAAAGAAGGAAAATGTCAGAAAAGCAAATATATTATTTCCTGCATTGCATAAGCTATTCTGGATAAAATCCATCATATATAACTCATCCAAATTAAAAATAAATAAAAATTCTCACCAAAAAGAATTATTTAATATCCAGATCTAACAAATGTTTTCACTAAATCAGAACTTAGAGATAAGTTTTAAAAAAAAAACAAAATCTCCTTTTGTTTACCACAAATGAAATGTTAACATCAGAATCACGTAAAAATTTCTACATGTAAGTGCATATGCAACTACTATGTTTTAACAGTTAGTTAACTTTGTTCTAATAACTTCTGTTTAATGGATGTGATTATAAAGATTCTACTCAGTACCAATTTAACACGTCAGAAAGATGTGTCTACTTAAATCGGATGTGTGCTTTAATCAGATTATCTTTGTTATCTTTAACACCACTGTCACAAAGAACAAGATATACATGCTTTACAGATTGTTATAAATAAACCACTACTGAATATACTTGCTACATAGTCTATATTTATGTATTCAAGTCTATTCCTGTCATATAAATGGACTAATTTTAAGTCAATGCATGATCAAATTATTGATTGCCTGAAAATCCTCTTTAAAAGGGAGACTCTTCTTTTTCTGTGCCATACTGGAAGGTCACTGCCAGTACCATCTTAGTCTTCCCTGGATAAAATGCAGCACCAAATTAACCATGTCTCTCTAAGCCCTAACTCTTGCAATATGCTGTTGGAATCTTTCCAATCAGCTTCTCAACAAATCAGCTTCAGTTTTCTGATATTTGTCTTCTTTTGCTTGTAGCAAGCTACTCCCTTTCTAGTTTCCTGTTTGTTTTCTGAAGTCACCTACAAAAGTGATAAAATTAATCATCTTTGAAGACAGTCTAAAATAATTTGTATACCAAATAGCTCAAGTATAAGATAAAAATGCATGCAAGCTGGTCCCGAACAGAGCTGGAGAAAAATGTACAACAAAACTCTAACTCACAAAAAAAGACCAGACTTACTGGGCTGACAAAGAGACTGGAGAAACTCCCAAGAGTATGGCCCCCCGCCACCCTTTTAGCTCAGTAATGTAGTCACTAGAAGGGACAGTGTTGACATGTCGTGGGGTTGCTAACCATTGTCATAAAATAATATGCGTACTAACTGTTTAATGAGAAACTATTTGTTCTGTAAACCTTCAGCTAAAGTCCAATAAAAAAATAAAATTAAAAATATATACATATGCAATCTCTGAAACCCCATTAACTTGTTTTCCTCCTTGCATTTTCAGATCCTTCAATTACTGCTGGTTAGGACTTCTACCATTTCACCAAAGAGGAAACAAGAACAGAAAAGATCAAGAACATATCACGAAGGGAATTTGAAACCAATAACTTGGTAGAAAACCTGCAAAGCACAACTTCTTCCCAACGACTTTACTTTCAAGTCTTCATTAAGACATAAGACTGCACGATCAGTGGCTTCTTCCTCAGATGTTTATATAACACTCTGCTAAATGTTAATTCTTAAAGATAGACACCTGTGATTCCATGACTCCCTTACCAAACCAAACCCACTGCCGTTGAGTCAATTCCGACTCAGTGACCCTACAGGACAGAGCAAGAACAGCCCCACAGGGTTTCCAAGGCTATAATCCTTATGGAAGCTGACTGCCACATCTTTCTTCCATTGAGCAGCTGGTGGGTTCGAAATGCCAATCATTCAGGTAGCAGCTGAGTGCTTAACCATGGTGCCACCAGAGCTCCAAGATTTGATAAATTACCGAAAACTTCCTATGTGTAAAGAACCATGCCAGACAGTATAATAGAATAATGCATGAGATGATAGAAAACATATATATCACATTCCTAAGGTTACCATAAAGCTCCTTCTGGAAGAAACAGATTTGAATCTTCTTCCTGAAAATTTCTCTTTGGTTCCTCCACTGTTGTCCTCTCTTGTTCTCTTACTTGCTTTTGTTCATTCTTTGGCTTTCCTTCTCACTTTCTAAATGAAAGAATTACCAAAGAATCTGCTCTCTGCTATTTTCCTTTCTTTCTCCATGTACTCTCTTCTTTCCCTTTGCAATCTCAAGGCCTCAAAAACTACTTTGCAAAGGATTCCCAAATTTTAGGCCTTGGTAGCTTTCCAACAAGCCTACCACATTTCTCTACCTGAATGCTAGTACCTCAAAGCAACATGTTTAAAATGAAACTAATCTTCCTTCTCAAATTTGCTCTTTCTTCACGGTCCCTGTTTCTGCATTTAATGACACTACCATCTTACTTCCCACAAGTTCAAAGTCTTAGAGTCATCTTGGCTTCTTTTCTTTCCCCTTGTTCTGATTTGCTGACAATTTGTTATCAGTTCTACCTTTAAATTATATTATTATTCTAATACAAAGTCCTTGCTACCTTCACCTGACTACTCCATAATTTAAACTCCAGTCTTCAGTCTCTTCCTATGCAAGTCCAATCAAATCATACATAACTTGCTTTTAAGGAAAAAAAATAATAATTTCCACAGTGTCAAAGGGACAAAATCCAAACAGCTTGGATTTTAAGACTTCTGCTGACCTGGATCTAACCTACCTTTCTAGTTAATTTCTTAGCTCTTCACTAGTGTGTTCTAGCCAAACTGAATACCTCGCCTTTTCTTATATCCACCACCCTCCTTCATGTTCCCAACTCTGAGCCCCTGCTTACCTGTTTCCCTAGTCTAAAATAAGACTCAGCTTCAATGTCATTATTAAGAAGCCAGCTACAAGTAATAAACATTCTCTAAACCACTCCAGCATCTTTTCTGCACTTCTCTTATGTCATCTGAATCTATCTGTACTATCATTACCTGTGTACATGTATTATTTCCTGGTAGTGCTGTATAAGTTTACAGTCCTTGAGAGCTGAATACATTTCTAATTTTTATTTATATCCCTCCAGACATCTGGCACAATTTCTAATCTTCATTATACCTTCAGAAAATATGTGAGTGCCTACTATGTGCTAGGCACTGAGGATGGATACAGCAATGGACAAAACAAAATTCCACATTCAAGGCATTTACATTCCCATGGGAGAGTAGCAGGTGGTAGGAGAAAAGTGCTTTGAAGAAAAATAGAGCAGGATCTATGAGAAGACAGTCATGCAGGGGTTGCTGTTTTAGGGTAAATGGTCTTGGAAGGCCTCTTTGAGTACTGATTTTTAAGCAGAGTCTAGAGTGAAGGGAGGAAGTGAGTCTTGGGATGCCTGGGCCATGTCAGAGTCTTCGGCTCCTCAAGTAATTTTCCACTGAGAAACTACCAGGTACTCGGCATTACGCCGGATCAGAGATAAAATATATATACTAAAACAATAATGGACAGAAAGCTTTCTTAATTTGTGAAGTAAGCCACAAAAAAGGCCGTGAGGAGGTAATGGCACCAGGTACCTAAGAGCAGTTCAAAGTGCTGACTGAAATAGTTACTGAAAATCAATTTAAGACACTTTCTTACTCAAGGATGCAACCCCCCAAAAAGCCAGCTTACATTTCAGAAAACCACGAGAGATGTGCACTATAAGCATCACACTTCTTAAAAAGAAATAAAGAATCTATAAAAGCCATGGGTCAGACCATTTTGTAACTGATCTGAGTTGAAATTCTGTTCAATAATATTTTAAGGCCTTAGGCTTATGGCAGTATCTACAGTGGATAGGCAGAATTTAATCAGCAGAATCTGTCTTAACATGTAAACTTAGAATAATCAGGCGTGATGGATATTTGAGCTTATAACAAGGTAGGCAATACCTTTCAAAATTCTGTCAGTGTATATGTCCTAACATATAAAGTGTATATGTCCTAACAATTCTCCAAAGATCCAAAAAGGAACACAACTGTACAATTTTTTTGTAAATGCCCTGAAGAC